AAAGAGTTGAGAAGAACTAAGAGAGACCATCGGTGGAAGCCACGCCATGTGATGAGACAGTCCAGTGCGCCTTCGTTTCCTGACCCCCTATTCAAGGAGCAGTGGTATTTGGTGAATATCTTTTGAAAATCTCATAGCTGTTATATGCCTATTTGAGACAGCTGTCGTTGTCGTTTTGCTTCTACTTTTCTATTCTTGCATCGTGACTTCGATACTCGAGTTTTAAATTTTTTGATAAAAAAGTTTACTATGTTTTGATAAAAAAAAGTTAATTTTTACTATAACTGTGTCCTGCGAGTTTTAACAGGTTTTCTAAATACCGCGTTTATGTGTTTAATAGAATACGTTTCAATTTCAACTGAGCTAGCGTTAACTTTAATAATATTCATATCCATTCATAATATTCAGATATATTATGTAGCTAATATCTGAAAAATGGGAAAACGAAATTTCGTTAAAGTTTCTATACAAACGACAATTTAGAAGTTACAGACTTAATATTTTACACGTAAATTTTAGGGACATTTTATGGACGTAAACTTCGAAACTAAATTTTGTATTAAGTAAAATCGGACAGCTTAAGTAAACGCAATTAAAAGGGTGCTCCTATCCAGATGGTACCTTATAGGTAGGTAATTGAATCGTTCTTCTCTGCTGTTACCTTGGATATGCTTCTCAACTTATCTCGAGAGTTTTCATCGAAACAAAGTTGTACAAATTATTGTAGAACACAAAATACTTCCATTTATACTATTATTTACAAGCTGGTAAGAAGAAACAACATATATTTTAAAAGCTCTTTTTATTATTAATGTTTTTAGTATTGCCAAATCTTGGACCTGAATTTTGAAGCGGTTTGCATAAAGACATTATTTTAGATGACAATGTACGATAAACTAAGTCTCAGTATTTTTTTTTTAACTAGTACGGCTCATAGCCCACGATGGCGTTTTAGTATTTTTTTGTCTACTGTCATAATATGGCTATAAATGCAAAGGATTTATTATAGAAATCCTAGCCACAACATTCCTAGCTATATTATTAACGGTTGTGTGGTTTCTGATTTACTATTTTGCCTTTAGCCCATTTTTAATGATGTGATTGCATTTTAAGTACTAAGGTATTATCACCTAATAAGGCCCACTGTTTTTGAATGGACTGCTAAAAAGCCTGATAGAAATATACATCTCAATCACCGTCCTTCATCGTCTGCCAAAGAATATACAATAATGTTATTTAAACCTTTTCTTTTACTCTTAACATGAGTGTCAGAGAGCGTATTTCCACCAATGATTTGATTGGGAGCGTCACGGGTACCTAGACACATTATGCTACAAATAAGCCGAAATTTAACTTTTTCCAATCATAAAAAGTTCTATTATCGAAAACGTTTTCCACCAAATTGGATATTCAAGTTACGAGAAGCGAGTAAAAAGGTATATATAGAATTTGATTCACACTAAAAGGTTCGTTCTTCTCGGTTGTAGATTCCGCTTTTTATGAGACGTATCATTAGCTACGAGCTCTCCGAAGTATCCCTAAGCGTTTTCAGCTTTAAGAAAATCACGATGAAATTTTCAAGGTGGGAGGTAAAATATATTTATACCGTGATTATTCGTACTGTTACTCTGGGATCAAATTTGCTATATTTATTTATTTTCTCTTATTATTATAATGGAAAATAAATGCGTAATCTGACAATGCCTTTATTCAATTGAGTTTTTTTCTCTATTATAATAAAACGAGAGAAAAAACAACCCTTGCTGAGTTTTTTGCCGGTTCTTCTTGGCAAGGTCTCAATGGATTTATGAAATTATGACATAGATTTCGAGTATCACAAATGTGACAGCCTAGACTGAATGAATCTTTTTCAATCTTGTTCCAATGATTTTGCAGTTTACATTATTTAATTATAAAATTTAAATGGCTTTACGATTTCATTGTCAGTCTCTGACTCAAAATCTTTGTCAAGAAAATTAAACAACCCAAACTCGACAATGTGACTTTATTTTAAATAAAAATCCCCTGACCTACCTTTCGGCTCTGCCATGAGATCAGCTCCATGACATATTAATATTTCATTGTCGTCTATTACATATGCGCGCAATTTTTTTTACAAAAAGAACAATATTTGTTTCTTTATTCTATATTAAGATGAGTTTATGGACAGCACTTTTGACGTAGGTGCTAGTTGTTAGTTTGATATTGGTAGTAAAAGTAATCAAAATAAAAAACCATGCTAAGTTTGATTTCTACCTATCATAACTCAATATTTAAAGCCACAAATTATGTGCACATAGATATATACACTAGAATGCCAACATTTATTACATTTCTTTTTCATTATCATTGAATATATTTAAAATGAGTAAGTTATACTAAACCCATTAATTTTTACAACTCGAGAAATTGTTTGCAAGATTTGACCACTAATCAACACAAAAAGGTAAATAAAATTTTTATCTTTTTATTACAAATTAACTAAGATCTATTTTGAGGATAGAGTGAATAGGCTTACTAAATAAATCTACTTTTAATCGGATATAACGCGTGTATATTTGATTTCATATATAAACGTTTTGGTACTATACAAATTCTATGTTTACTTAGAGTTTATCCTTTTAAAAGCACTTTTATTGTGCATGAGAATATAAGGAATCAAGATGAATAGGTTTCTTCTAGGTAAGGACGCCCTATTGTAAATATAATTCATGCCTTTAAGATAGGTTGAAAACAAGAGTCACCTAACTATAAAAAAAATGTGACTATGATTTACCGTAACGAATAAAATATAAAACTTTGTGTACTGACTACAAATTTTCCTGTAAGTATACCTTTATGTCAGTTTCCCTGCGCGGGAAGGTTAGAGATCCCAGCGCCTCAAGGCCCCTTAGTCCTTTGACCTTTTCTCTTACATACCTTCGCTTCGTTTACATTTATTCTTTCATACGCGCTCGCCTGTTTTTGTGTCTTAAAACTATTTCTATTCGAAACTATCTCAATGTAAAGCCTATTGAAGTAAAACAGTTTTATAATTACCAAACTTTCATTAAATGCTTTAAACATTCCGAAAACTAATCAACGGAATAGTTATAAACACTCCAAGGCTTGTTCTTTGGTTTGGTTAATTCATTATTCAATTAATTACGTGAGCGTATCACTTTTCCCTGGTATTAGTTACAGCGTCTATGAATCAATCGATTTAATTAGGTTTCCTGATTGGTTCTTAACACGTCACAATTACGGCAGTTCATTTGAAATATCATAAAGTAGACTTATTATGATTTTCATAATTAAAATTGATTTTGAAATCGTAATAACTGCAGCCAGTTATGGAATCAATTAAGAGCCGTATTTATGGGTCAGTTAAGAGTTTAAAGTTATTCTTAATGAAAAACGCCCAATAATCCATCAGATACAGGAACACTGAGATGACACCTGAATCAACGATCCTTAGCAATCCGGGTAACTGCTTCAGCCATTGTGCTACCCTGGACCGTCTAGTGAACGTGTACAATACACCTAAACAGACGAAAGTAATATTTAAAAATTTTAATTAATAATAATATTTTTTTCTATTTTCTCATGATATATTGGAAAATATTCTCAATTACCGCCATTTTTCATTAAAAATATCTTCCTAAGTAGAATAGAAAAGATATTTGTTTGCCTTTAAATAGGATACATTATGATAACAATTAATTAAAATAAAATTAGAACTTAAAACCTATTTAGCCATACAGAGATTTATCTTGATATACAATAAGGTATACCATTTGTATGTTTAACAAATGGTGACTAACAATAAAAAGGAGTTTTGGGTTTAAGTACCTTAACGTATCACATCTGGCGTTAGTTCAGTTAAGCAAATAAATATGTTTCAATATCTTATGAAAAACTAGAAATATTTTGTAATTAACTTCAATCAATTTACCTATATGATATATAATACTTCGTATGATCTTTAAATTTATTCTACTGACGCGAAATTTAAAATAGAGCTACCTAATTGAAAATGTAGGTGGAGTTAACACTTACAGTACGTACGTTTGCGAAAGAGGCCATATCTTATTTAATTTACAAATAAAAATATGATCAATACAACAATACTACGTACGTATTTATAATCCTAAAGCAACTATTGTGTATACAAAAAAAGTATCATCAAACAAGTAAAATGACTCGAATCTCTGCTTGTGGAGCATTTAAACGATGAAAAGTTAATTTTAACCTATAATTTTAAAGATTTTAAACAAACTACCATGTTTATTTTATTGTAGTGGCAATACTTTTGTTTGCTTTTTTTATGTCAAAATTCAATTTATAGAGTAAGGTCTAATTTTGTTCGGCTTCGTGACTCGATCTTAGAATATTAAGTTCCACGCACCGGGTTTTTTAACTTTGTCTTAAACACGTGGTTTATATAACAATTTCATTTTGATAGAATGGAGGAGCTGCCGATGGTTTGGACATGAATGTGGGATATGCATGGAGGAAAGGTTATACTGGTAAAGGTGTTGTTATAACTATTCTGGACGACGGTATCCAGCCCAATCATCCGGATCTGGCACAAAATTACGTAATTATGAAAATCAATTAAATTTATTAATAACTAATATTTTTGCAACCGTATTGTAGTTGAAAAGATAACTTGAAATTATTTTATCAAGAAGAATTCTAGCATAGCATATTTATTTAAATGCAAGGTCAATATATTTAAGGTTAATATATTCGACATGGTTAATATATTTAAATGCAAGGAAAATAAGTTTGATGTTTTAATTTGTTATGTCAATATTAAGATGCTTTCACTTTAGATTCTTAAAAGTGTTATAATAAATATCACTTACTTCTTTTAAAAGCAAAAATTAAATATAGCTATTTTGTGTGTACATGACATTTAAGTATTTAATTATTTGTTTTAGAGTATCCCATAGACTATTTAATACGTTGATAATAATATTTACTAGTTTGGAAATCATTTCAAATAATTAGGTCCAATGAATGTGAATCACGAACACGTATTTCAGGATCCGGCAGCTTCAACTGACATTAACGGGAATGACACCGACCCCACGCCACAGGACAATGGCGACAATAAACATGGCACCCGGTGTGCGGGCGAGGTCGCTGCGGTCGCTTACAATAGGTACTGCGGCGTCGGTATCGCATACAATGCCAGCATCGGGGGAGTCAGAATGCTAGACGGCCTAGTTAATGACGCAGTAGAGGCGCAAGCTCTCGGCTTCAACACGCATCATATAGATATCTACAGTGCCTCTTGGGGCCCTGAGGATGACGGGAAAACAGTCGACGGGCCAGGCCCCTTAGCTAGAAGGTATTGTCTAATTGCTCTCGATCGAAAACCCGCTAGAGGCAAGCTCATTAAAATTGCTTTGTTTCAGGGCCTTTATAAACGGAGTCACAAACGGTAGGGGTGGGAAAGGTTCTATTTTTATATGGGCTTCCGGAAATGGTGGCAGGCATACTGATTCTTGTAATTGTGACGGGTATGCGAATAGCATATTTACGATTTCCATATCGAGCGCCACGCAAGGAGGCTATAAACCTTGGTATTTAGAAGAGTGCTCATCAACTTTAGCCTCAACTTACAGTTCTGGAACGCCGGGTCGCGATAAAAGTGTAGCAACTGTTGATATGGATGTACAATTGAGGCCAGATCATATATGTACCGTTGACCATACAGGGACGTCCGCTTCAGCTCCATTAGCGGCAGGAATATGTGCATTAACTTTAGAAGCGAATCCTTTATTGACTTGGAGAGATATGCAGCACCTCATAGTAATAACATCGAGGTCACTACCATTAAATAAAGAAGAAGGTTGGATAGTAAATGGCGTAAAAAGAAAAGTCAGTCACAAGTTTGGTTATGGACTAATGGACGCAGCTCAAATGGTCACCTTAGCAAAACAATGGGTTACCGTACCGCCGCAACATATTTGTAAGTCACAAGAAATAAATGAAGACAAATCCATTGAAACGTCATTCGGTTATACTATATCAGTTCACATGGACGTGAATGGCTGCAGCGGTACAATGAACGAGGTCAGGTTTTTGGAACACGTTCAATGTAAAATTTCACTGAGCTTTTTCCCGAGAGGTAATTTACGGATTCTGCTTACGTCGCCGATGGGGACTACGTCCACCCTTTTATTTGAAAGAACACATGACGCAACTAGTTCCAATTTCGATGACTGGCCTTTTTTAAGCGTACATTTTTGGGGAGAGAATGCCGAAGGCCGTTGGACGTTACAAATAATAAATGCTGGAAATAATCATGTAACTCAACCGGGGTTACTAAAAAAATGGCAATTGATTTTTTATGGCACGGCAACGAATCCTATACGGCTGCAAAATAAGGGTTACTATAATTCAAATAATGTATACCAAAAGGAAAAAGCGTATCATATAAACGATGTTTATGACGCATCCGAATACTCGCAATTTCTCAACGAAATTGAGCTTGGTATTTCCGATAAACGCAGTTATTCCAAGAACATTCCTTCTGCACAGAGAAAAAATGTCTTGGCGGACGCCAACGATAAGCAGGTACAAAGATTATGCGATCCGGAATGTGATACACAAGGATGTTATGGAAAAGGTCCAACACAATGTGTTGCATGTAAACATTATCGTTTAGACAATTCTTGTGTATCAAGATGCCCACCAAGAAGTTTTGTAAATCAAGGAGGAGTGTGTTGGCCTTGTCATGAATCATGCGAGACTTGCGCAGGGGCGGGTCAAGATTCTTGTCTCACTTGTGCACCAGCTCATTTATTAGTCATAGATTTAGCAGTTTGTCTTCAACAATGTCCCGATGGCTATTACGAAGATTCTGATGCAAGTGCATGTTTTCCGTGTGCAGAACATTGTTATACATGCTCAGAAAAAGCAGATATGTGCTCATCTTGTGTACATAATTACGTCCTTTACAATGGATCATGCTTGGCTGCTTGCCCTCCGGGAACATATCAAAAAGACGATTTTAGTTGCACACCATGCCACGAGTCATGTGAATCGTGCCACGGGCCAAATGATACTGAATGTGTATCATGCCGTCTTGGCGATTATGCAATAAAAAATCGTTGCATTCCAAAATGCCCCGTGAATTATTACTCGGACGCACAAAGAAGAGAATGTTTACCGTAAGTAGGTTAACCGTATTTCCTTTAAAAATAAATTTAACTGAATAAATAATAGACAACTATCATTTAAGGTGTCCAATCGGATGTTCGATTTGCACGTATGGTATCTGCTCCATTTGCAAAGAGAAATGGGTGATAAGTAAAGGAGGAAATTGTCTACCGGATGGCAATGACAAATGTGATACCAGTGAGTACCTAGTATCTAATAAATAAATATTTTTATTTCGTAGACATATTCAGATAGTAACTTTTATTTTCACAGACGAATATCATGAAAGTGGACGGTGTAAAAATTGTCACTCTACTTGTGAAAAATGTAGTGGACCAAATGAGTGGGACTGTTTGTCTTGTTCGACCCCATTGTTATTACAGGGATCGAGGTAACAACACACTATTAAGCCGAACCTTTTCCTGCATTATATGTGTGCGAAAATACGATGTTAACATGAACAGTTTGTTTTAAGGTGCGTAGCGGAATGCGGTCAAGGGTTTTACCAAACAGCTGGTCGTTGTACTAAGTGTCCTCACACGTGTATTGCTTGCGTTTCAAGATTGAACTGCACTTCATGTGCTGGTGCCTTAAGACTTCAGTCTGGGACTTGTCGAGCTACTTGTGCTTCTGGATACTACCCAGATGAGGGAACTTGTTCTAAATGTTACTTGTCATGTGAGACGTGCACTGGTCCAAGAAGAGATCAGTGTGCATCATGCCCGCCGGATTGGAGATTGGCGGCCGGAGAATGTAGACCTGAGTGCCCACAAAACTTTTTTCCATGGAAGGACAGCTGTCGTCGCTGCCATCATTACTGCCAGGACTGTCATGGAGCAGGACCTCAGCGGTGCACGTCGTGTCCGCCGCACTTTTCCCTGGAAGGTGGATTGTGTGTAGAGTGCCTTAGTTCTCAATATTACGAGCCGAGGACTAGAACTTGCCGGCCATGTCACGACTCATGCAGATCATGCTCGGGTCCTGGACCAACAAGTTGCGTTACTTGTGCTCATCCACTCCGCTTAGATAGGTGAGTAAATTATTGTTATCGATTTGAATTAAAGTTTTATTTAATATTCAATTAGTGATTCAATTCAATTTCTAGATGGCTGTGAATATAAACTATTTTATTACGGTCAGAAGTTAAACTCCCATGAATCAATTACAAAATATAGTTCAATCTAGTTTCCATTTTATTTAATTTTTATTATTACCTAATTGTTATTGTTTGAAATATGAAATATCTGATAGATAATGGTAGTAAATTGATTTAGGTTCATTAATTATTGTATCTAAGTCTAGTTGAATCCATATTACAATGCTAAAAATGGCTGATCACGTGTTTAAAACTGCTTCTGATTTTCAGGGTAAACCATAAATGTTTGCCGTGTTGTACCGAAAGTATGCTTTCGTTCTATTTGAGCACAAATCAAACTACTGACTGTTGTCATTGCGACAAAGATATTGGTAAGAATTTCCTTAAGATACTTATTGTTTACCTTTGTCAAGCACATTTGTCAAGATGTTCCTTTTGTAAACACATAAAAATATATATGTTTCATCTATTTTCGTAAATTGACTCCATAACACTGTCTCTTGTGATGATAGATTTTGGGTTCGATTCCCCGATCGATTAACGTGTAATTATGATATTTCGTTACCGTACTTATATAGGTCTTGTAATATTGTCAACAGAGTATCAGGTAGTTCAAAATTGTATAATGCTTTCGATTCATTTTAAATGTTTAATTTGTTACAAGTTTAAAATCGATTACAGAATGATATCATATTATAGTCGCAACACTATAGTCAGGTTATTACTAGACTGCTAGTAGTAACCTGATAACCTGAACTAGACTACTAGGTTACACTATAGAGGCCAAATTATCCAATCGATGTTAAGCCTCAATAGTTAAGTTCGAAATAGATTACAATACGGTATTATAAAAATTAGTATGGCAGTATTAAAAATAAAGCCTTCATTTACATTAGGTGGTTGTCTCAATGGGTCTTCAGCGGGTAAGAGACGAATCGCCGAGAACGCACGTTCGCATGTGACAGCATCGTATTTCGTCGACGACAACGTTTCGTCGGCGAACATTCTAGACCACAACTTGCTAGTCGCTTGGAGTGTTGGTGCAACACTGCTCGTGGTCGTTGGGCTTATTGTCATCATTAAGGTAAGCGTGATTTTGAATGAAGTGGATATTTTTTATAACCTTGCTAAAATGCACTACAATGCCCCCAGACTGGATTAAGATCTAGTGAGTCCATTAGTGATAAAAAAATAGCAAAATCCACATACAGTGTATACCTGTCCTTCGCTCTACAATCCGCAAATATATAAATGCAGCGTCTAAGCAAGTAATCCCTGCAACACCAAATAGTCTAAATGTGTTTCGTATCTTATCGAGCATCATAAGTTGTATGCTATTCAGTATCAATCTCTTAACGCTGAATGGTTTCAAAAAAAAAGCTTAACTAAAAGCATGATGTGGTTATTGGTTCTTTTTGAAAATTGATTTTGGGGGTCAACGAGGTCAAAAGCTTTAATATACTTTTTTGAAACTTTTAAGATACATACAAATATAAGTAGTGTTATAGAAATTAGTAGTATTTTATTTTTGCTTTATTTTTTAGGTATTAATTAATCTTTATATCCAAAGAATTTTGATTTCTTTATTTTGAGGATATCGAAAAACAGCATATATGAGATTTTAAATTTAATTCGGTTGTGAAGTTAGTAGTCGAAGTTGTTCTCAATAAGTGTAACATCACAACCCTGGTATATGGTATGTCTTATACATTTGGCAGTAAATAAAAGAATAATTGCCTGATTATTCTACAGTAACTAGAATACTAATAATGTCATTAGTCAAAGGCCAAGGTAAAATTTTTCTACCGAAACACTCGTTGTATTAGTTATTTACTCCTCTATCTTAAATTCTATTAAATTACAAAAGATAGATGTCCTTGAACTACATATAAATATTAATGATTGAGTCTAGACAAACGTAGGTTTCCCTTTATCAAAAATTCAGGTACTTGCTTTCCCAAATTACTTGTATTTGAAAAGCAAATGATTAATCAATACTTCACGGGGGACTTCTAACCACATGTGTACTTTTTACTATTTTACTACTAATGTAGCAACACTTGGTAGACTGCAAGATTTATCTAATGGGTTTTGTGTGTTCTATTGTTATTGTGACAATTTTTTTTTTCTACCTTTATTACGAACCACTTATATTCCGCGACTTGTGTTACCCGCGTATAAGTAGCTTCCCGTAGGTGAAAGGATTTTTAAAATCGATTTATCAGTTTCGGTGCCTATTTGAGCATCATCAGCCCTCAGTGCAGGGGTGCGAAAGTTGCTTAACAACAAGGATCACGGGTCTCGGCAGTTATCCACTACGCCACTCGATGCAAACAAATGCCTATTTGGTGCAAACAAATAAATCTTTCTTCTTTTTAATATTAGTATGGATGATTATATATACGAATATATCTTGTCCACAGCTAAAAACGAGGAGACGCAAACACAATTCGCTCTACCCTAAGACAGAATATTCACAGCTGACAACTGTCGATGAAGACTTAGTAGCATTAACTACATCTACCACCATCCTGAAGGTGACCGATACAAATCAAGCGAATCAACTAGAAGAACCAACATAGCAATTTGAACCTAATGTCAATGTTAGTAATGTAACGTTTACACTGCAGACTGATATATAGATGATATATAGACGATTCAGATATGGATTATAAGTTGATACGATTTCGAAGTTTTAATGGCGAGGAAATGAGATCCGAGAGTGAATTATTATGTGTAACAATAGACCTTTTGTATTGAAAAGGATTAATTAGTCGAGTTTTGAATTTTATCAAATTATAATAATGAAATGATTCAAGCCTTTTTCCATTATTTTGCGAAAAGTTAATCCTGATTTTTAGATTTTGCTCCGTTATCATAAAGTTGAATTTTCAAGAAATACTTCCAACTGAATAGGAATGATGCCTGGGTAAAAAAATATAATTTCTATTTAGTCCAAATAATAGAAAAAAAAAATTACAAGAAAAGGCTTAGATAATAATCATCAAAGTTGAAGAGTGTGGGCTCGCTACGTCAGAACAACGTAGAAAATGTACAAAGGCGCGATGTCATGCGACATTTCTACTCAGTATATCCCTGTAATTTATTGTTTAAGGAAATAAATCTACTTGACGGACAGACAGACAAAACTTAGTCATCATTTCTATTCATGAAAATGGCATTTCAAATGAACAAGTAATTGCTTTCATTATTCTGTTTTCTATTAAAAGAAAAAGAAAACAGTGATGTTTATACGTGAAATTAAAGTGCTATGTGTTATTTTTACATAACGAATATCTGATATGAATACAATTTTTTTAAATTCTTTTAGAAAAACGGAGTGAATTAATAATATTATAATAGAATTATACTTCGTTATGTTACCTAATGTCATGAGGGACCTAAGAAAATAGCTTTGTTGAAAGGTAGATAGCGAATCGTGAAAAACTTTATATAATAAATACACAATTTAAAACAATTGCCAAGATTGAGTTGGACTCGCCCACTGAGTACTTTTTCTGTGATCCATAAATAATGGTTATTCTCTTCTATTTTTTTATAGGGATTAGTTTCATGAAGTTTATAGAATATTTGTACGTGTTATATAGGTATTTAGAGAAGTGGCATTTATTTAGTTTGCTGTTAAAAGCACCAAATATAACAACAGTTTTCAGGTTACAAAAATAATATGTTTTCTCATTCACTTATAAACTGCAATTACTATATAATGTAAGAATTAGTGACCCCTCCCGATAATCGATTAGCTGTTGCTTCCGTTATGAATAACGTAATAAAATAACGCTATTATGTTACGACTAAATAACGACCTCCGTAGCCGAGTGGATCGCACGCCGGTTTCAAGGTGTCGCCATCTCTTAAGGTCCCGGGTTCGATTCCCGGTCGAATCAATCTAGAAAATGAATTTTTCTATATTGTTTCAGGTCTGGGTGTTGTGTTATACTCGTTGTCTCAGATACTCCTTAATACTCCTTAATAAGCTACTCATCTTGGAATCTGAGCAATGTATGTGATGCTGTCTAATATTTATTTATTTCATTGTTTCGTGAAGTTTTTCACCGTTTGCATGTATAACTTGGAACTTAAAAGATTTCATTATAAATTAGACATATCTAATTATAATAAACTGCGTTTGTTGTTATTAATATTGTTTACTTGTTTCGTCACGCGAACTGTGTATATACTATTAATCAATTATTGTAAAACTTGAAATTGATATGTAAATATGTAAATATTGACAATGTAAATATATCGATGGTTTTTATGACGGAGATTAAAGTTGTTTCATTTTTTTGACTTTTAAAAATTATTTTTTTCCCCACTTTTGAAGGCAAAGACCCCTTTTTCTTACAATGTATCCTGTTTCAAATTTTGGAAGGAGATTTGGTGGTGGATATTTCTGTTGATTTTGGTTGGTGTAATTTTTTCTAATAATTTACCAATTGTATATGTATGAGTTGAGAAACTTGATGGCACAGTGGCTATCTAGTGCGTTGGTTTTGCGATATTGAAATAAAGCATCTTTTGCAAGGGCCAGAGATAGAATTGGTGATCGAAATTTACTATATAGTGCTTTTTCCCCTCGCGTTCAGCCGTTGGTCAGGACTGTGACGGGCTTGTTACTTAGTTAAATAAATAAAAGGCTGACTAAGCTTGAGAACTTGTAACAAAAAAACTGTAACAAACAAAAAAGGAACTTAAAGACAGTCCGTGTGGTTACCTAAATAAAAATATTAAAATAGTCAAATAGAACAATTACATACCACTTTTCTTCAGCTTTTGTGAGTAATTTAACTTTATTATATTTGTTTTGATATAAACTCGTGAGCATTACCGAAACAGGTAATAATAAATAAATTTTAACATTTTTAAAAATAAATTGTTTTTGTATGAAATTAAACATGTGTAATGTTTCTGACTCAACGAACTTTCACGAACTGACATTCATAAAGAGCATATTGAATTACTCAAAATTTCAAATTACGAAAAGTGAATAATAAAAATAAATTATGTTGAAGGTCAAAGACAAAAAGTTTGCATGCGGAAACCTAGGATGAAATAAGCGGTGGTGCGACGCACTGTTACAAGGCTACATTTACAATCCTTAATACCTATCAATCCTCACTGGGCCGCCGTGCTGGCTCATAATAGTCCATTCTCCGTATTCGGTTCGATTGCATCCATGGAGAGGATGCCCAAGTAGTTGACATATAATTAGGCTTATTATATTGGTAACGGTTATTTAATAATAAAAATAAGTAGCTTTGACTTTGCTTAAATACTCTACCTTAGTTATAGTAATAGCCTTGAGAATCAGTGGTGTATCAATAATATTTTTTTTAGAAGTAAGTGTTAAATTAAAACTATGTATAGTAACGATACTATCGATATTATATGTCGCATCATCATTACGAAGATCGTTTGATTTAGTTTCTTTTATTTTAATTGCTAGTTACTCGATTACTTAATTACTCAATTGTAAAGAGAGCGTGATCATCGATACTTTTAATTTTATTAGAATAGTGACACTGACTTTGACAGTTCGTTTATAAAAACCAAGTTGCCGCCATTTTGGCACACATTCTGTTTCCGATCGCCGAGGAGTAAAGACATCTGATGACATCACGCTCATCTCGTTATATTTTCGTGTGAAAAATGATAAAATGGAACAAATCCACGTTGGTATACACGCCTGCAGTGTTATTTTAAAGATAGTCCTCCGATACGGACAATCTATTTGGGCTTCGTAATAGCCCCTTCGGACTACCCGCCGTTATATATATTAATATGATATAATATGTACAGTCAACAACACAACTGATTATACACTAAATTTCCTAACTCACTTGATTTTAAAATCTCAACATATTCCAAAAAGACTGTGTTAATTTGACATAATTGTTGTAATCTGACATACTGCTGAGTATAATAGCTAATTTTTTGGTCACCCATCCCTTCCCGTGACCGACCCTTGCGAAAGTTGCTTAACAACAACGATCGCGGGCCACGGCGCTTATCCACTACACCACCGAGATACTAAATTTTCTTTAATTGTTGTTAAACCTAAATACGTTATTAGACTGCGAAGTTAGATTTATGAAACTTGATACTGTGGTAACCTGTTGAACACAGCTGCAGGTTAGGTTACCACAATAATCAAATTTCCGTAATGAATTTTGACCTAATTGTATTAAGGTTTAAAATCAAGTGGGGAAAATTGACAGTTTTGTCTAACCTATCTTGCCATTGACTGTACCGTTAGTAAGTCAGGTTATATGTATTGAACTGTCAGATTATTTCACCTTGATTTTAACCCTTAATGCATGCATGCAGGTAGAATTCAAAATCGGTTTTGGAAAGATATTATAGTAATCAACTGTACATATAAGGATCGAATAAAATTACTTTATGTGTCGATGTAATATGGCACACTTATACAAGTGATGCCAACGAGGAATCGACGAGATGTATCTCGAGTGGCGGTGTACTTCGACGAGTTGTAGACTTAGGTTAGAATCATCTACTGTGTGTGTATTCAATAACCGAAATATCACAGTAGTATAATTATATTCCATTATTACCTATCATTCCGAAAATACGTGAACACAAGTTTAATTTTCATATATCAGTTTAGAAAGTAGTATTAGTGAATCAGCACTAAAAGTCCTTTAATTCTTTACAGAATTACAATTTTTTGTTACTTATCAAGTATAATTAAATTTTTATATTGAATTCAACGAAATATATCATTGATAAATTTTGGAAACAACTTCGTAACTTCATTGTGATAATAAATCTTGTGGAAGAAACCTTTTTCCTTCATAAAAGCCAGACACGTTAGCGAATGTTCTATTAGAACTGATCTATATTAATTACTGTGTGTGACAAACGACGAACGACATAAGAGCCCCGCTAATGTCTACCGGCTGTCCATCGTTCACTATTCAAGTGAGTCAGTCGATTTATCATTGGCGTGTCGAGACGGTTCATTTATTTGCACATTTACTTTGGTGTTCCACCTTCATGGGTGTTTAAGCAAGTCCTATTGGAAGGTGAATTAATAAGACAGGTAAATGAAAGATTTATCTGTCTTTATATGGGTTTGTTTTAATGAGAAAAAATAGATAAAGTAGGAAATAGATATAAATTTAAATGTGAAAATACACAATACTTAAGGCAACATTGCTCACATTCCAATATAAGTGGTGTAGCTAATACATTATGAAGTATTTGAGATAGCGAAGGTATACCAACACCAACTAAACTGACCAACAGAAACAGATCGAAACAACCTTTTCGGTAGAATATTCATATTTTCTCATATATGTCTAAATCTTCATGTCGGATCTCTATCTCTGGAACAACAACGGCACGATCTTTATTGAATATTTTCATTTCTTCGACGCTCATTATTCTTTTCATAATATTTATTGTATATATTTTAAAACTTTCAAAATCATCTTCCTATGTTATACGATCTATCGCAAAAGAGAAGTACTGAAAGCTTACTCTGTTTCATTGAAAACGAATTTTCGACAATTTTTGAAACGCTAATATGACTTAA